CCATCAGCTTGTAGGCGCAGAGGAGGAACTTGACGTAGAAGAAGAGGAGCCGGCCGAGCATCGCCCAGTTCATCTTGCCCACCATGGCCAGATTGAGCGTGTACGGATTGGTGGTGTGAAAGTGGGCGATGTAGTGGGCGAGGCGGAGGCGATATTTGTAGCGCATCACCGAGGGCGACTTGACGAAGAACTTGATCAGCAGTTTGGTGACGCCGTGGAAGGCCGCCGAGTGGTAGGCGGCGAAGTAGGTGAAGGTGACGAGGAGGGTGGCCTGGACGAGGACGAAGCCGAGGACGAGGAGGCGGAGAAGAGGACTGAGGCGGCCGTTGAAGGCAGGAAGGAGCATCGTGGAGAGGATGGCGTTCAGGGGCAGGGTGGTGACGATGAAGCCGCTGATGATGGACCCGTAGATGCGGTTGATGTCGGCGAGCCAGTGGAGCAGGGGCACGGCGAAGTGCTGGCGGACAAAGTTGAACTCGAGTTCGATGAAGGCGGCGAGGAGGAGGCGGTTGCCGACGTACCGTTTGAGCTCCTGCAGTTTGTAGAGGAGGACCAGCGCCTGGACGGTGATGAAGGGAATGAAGAGGGAGAGGACGTAGCAGCAGATGTTGATCACCAGCAGGTAGTGCGCGAAGAGGAGGTGGTAGGCGACCAGGCGGAGGGAGAAGAGGTAGGAGTACTGCCGGAAGTGATGATCACCTGTAGGATTGTAGGTGGCCAGCAGCTCGACCAGCAGTCTGCCGTAGAAGTAGAACATGATGCAGTCTGGAAGGGAAAATGGTGATTGTTAATGATTGAATACTGCTTCAAGTTTTGCAAAAAAAGTTTTGTTTGTTTACAGTACGCCATGGCCATCACATCAAAGGCCTGGAGCAAAACTCGGGCCACCCCCTGCATTCTCTCCTTTACCAGGCCGGTCTTCAGTCCTTTGCTCTTCAAGCTAAAGTGGACACTGAATCGCTTCGCTGAGTTGCTGTTGTTGCTAGAGTTGTTGGAGCTGTGGCAATCGAGCACCTGTCGCAGACACTGACTGGAGGGGCCATTGTTGTGGAAGATCAGCCGGTGGTAGGCGAAGGCGAGCAGGGCAAAGTCAATGGCAATGTAGGCGTTGAGCATCGCCGGCAGCCCTCGCTCCACGTGGACAATGTCAAAGAGAAGGAGGTGGTCGGCGTGGCCGAGGTAGTGGCAGTGGTGGTGGCAGGACTGGCCACCCAGCCACCACAGGGCAAAGTAACGGGCGGCCAGGGCTAGGGTGAGGTAGTACTGAAAGGTGGCCAGGTTTATTGTTCTTGTTGACATCTCATCATCATCATCAGAGTTTGAACCGATCCGATCGACCACCTCGGAGAAGTAGGCGGAAAAGTGGCCGGCGGCGTCTCGGTGAAAGAGCTGGGCAGGACAGAGCTTGGTCAGAGCACTTGAGGCTCTCTTGCAGATGGTGTTCAACGGTTTCATGATGATCAGTGTGCAGGTGAGCAGCAGTGAATGATTAAGACTGGCACTTGTTCAAGTGTTGAGAAGTGTTGACGATTGAGGCAGTTTGAACTGACTCTCTGAGGCACTGAAAGTGATCACTTCAGCTGATCATTAAGTACCAGTGGTTGTGGTGGCCTGAA